GGACTCACCACGCCCGAAATGGTATACCTCATCAGTCGATTAAAAAATGATGCCCTGCATACTTGCTTGTCAATTTTCTTCGTTTTGCTTAGATGACACAACCATTCCATCGCATCCTCTTCGCCCTCTGTAGGGTTCACTAGCCCTAGCAAGCCAACAATGTAGGAGGATTCTATATGCCCTGCCTTAGCCGCCACTCGGAAGTTGTTGACAGCCTCATTATCTTTGAATATGAAGAATTGAGTTACGGCTTCTCTGTAAATGATTTCTGGATTGTTGTGTTCCTTGCACTTTTGCAAGAACTCAACAATTTTCTCTTGATAAAACCCGTACCATTCAAGATGCCACTAGTACTTCTCTATAGACACGGTTCACCAAACCTCAGGATCATTCAGCATTTCTTCAAATAACTTGCATGTCCCCGCCATGCTGTATAGATCTTCAGAGGAGTGCTTTGCATCCAAAAGCAGCACCTTAAACCATGCCGCTGCTAGGATGTCCATCTGGGTTGTTGGAGAAGAGGGAGTGCAAAAGGTATGTGGAGGAACAATGAACGGTGTATCTGGACAAATCAGGAAGAAAGGTATATATTGGAACGAACCATCGTCACCTAAACTATGGACGAAGACAACATTGGGTTTAGATCATGCATTATTGGCTTCGTTTCCCAACCGGTATGACTGAAAGGATAGTTCACACACCTCGATGATCCAGGTTTTGGCTGTAAATTGATCTTCTCGCGACTCCATGTCTAGGTACACCTCGTGGGCGTTCGCATTTATGATACTACTAATCAACATCAGCAGTCAAAAAAATAAATATACTTTTTGTGATAATGATTATGCAAATAATTTAACAGCAAAGTATGAAACAAAATATCATATCTACGTACCATTAACAGTACAGAAAATGAAAGCAGTGTTTATGACATCACCAATTATGAAGCTAATCTGAATTTAACATGAGCAAGTAAACAATTTCATCTTCTGAAATATGATACTAAATATGAACTCATATCACCAGTAAAGAAACAAAAAAATGTGCTTGTGGTACTTATAATGCAAATATGACATCACAAGTTGTGAAGGTAACTTACATTTGAACATGACAAGTCAACAGTTTCATCTTCGCAAATATGATACTAAATACGAATTGTAAAGAAAATTAAAGTATCGTATATGATACAAATAATGCAAATATGGCATCACCAGTTCTCAAGGTAACTAAAGTTGGCGGGTAAAATGAAAATGGGAACTACTCTATAAATACCAATGTAAGAGTATTTTACCTCCCATTGCACCTCCACTTGCTCCAAACAAGCCTAAACTCAGAATGGGTTCCCTTACAAAAATCCCCCCCCATACTTATAACAACTCCAGCAAAAATGCAGAACCTTTGTCATAGAGGAATAATAAAGCTGAAGATGTTGCTGATGGAGCTGCGAAATCCATAAAATTTTCATCTGAGGATCCCAATGATGTAGCTCGGATCGGCAAGATGAGGTATGATTCGTTCATCATGGAAATCAAACGCCTGAAGATACGTCTAAGATGGTATCAAGAAACATTGGGGAAGGAGAAAAAGAAAGCGAAATTCCACCCTCGATCAATCCAAAGAATGAAAGTGAGGGTTTGGCTTGCAAAACGAAAAGGTGTTCAAAGGTTCAGTACTTCGAATGAGTCTGTGTAGATGAGGGAAACAGAAGCACGCAAAGGGTTTGACCTGTTCCTCGAGTTTGCAAGATGTGTTGTCCCAAGCTACAACTGGGACGGGATCGCCATGGAGTAAACCGTCCCTAGATAAAGTTCATTTTGGGGGTTGTCAGTATTTTGTTCGGAACAAATGTGTGGTTCATTTTGATGTCGTTTTTTGGCATTTTGTGTAGGCTCCTGAAGGTATAAAAACTGTGGTTTAAAGTGTCCATAGTTCTTAAGTAATGTATCCAACTGTAAGATGTGAAGGACAACTGTAAACAAATGGGGAAACTATTTTGAGTTTTTTAAGCGTACTTTTGTCTACATAAATTGTTGTGCTTTTATGAAGTTTGTTTATATTATTTTCTGATCACATATTTCTTTGTGTTATTTTATAACGCCTAAAAGGCATGGAATATAAACAACAGAGGTGGATTTGTTGATAATCCAGGTATTTATGTCGCATAGTAATCAAGTAATGGAGGGTTGGCTTTATCTCGTTCATTTAGGGATGGCAATGTGTTGAATCGGGGGTGGGTATGCCATTTCCATAGCCCGCCCCATTAGGGGAAGAAAAAACTAATTATATAACTACTATGTTTAAAAGAAAAAAGAGCAGTAAGACAACATAATGAATATATAGAATACGTACTTAGAAGACAATATAACAATATTTATATATATGTTGGAAGTTAACTAAATAAATAAGTATTGTGGCTTAAGATTTGTATACAATATAATCTACTAATATAAAATATAAAACTTAGTCGATACTCTGTATGTTCATAGCATATTTATATATGAGGTAAATGCTCTTGTGTGTTTCCATTTTGGGTCATTTGAATAAAATAATGCAGCTATGCAGAAAAATATATTAGTAAATACAGTGCTGAATAAATTTATTTTGAAGTCTGCTTTTGTTTCCCCCTTTTTTAAGTAATTGAGTGAGTTTTGAGGTTTGAGCATTTATTTGATCACTTATATGGTAGCTAATTATGTTCGTAACTTGGCATTTTAGAGGTTTGCTTATTGGTTTCAAATATATAATTTTAGCAATGAAATAACAAGAACCATATTATGTCTGTCAATTGAAAGGAGAAAATATAGAAATATTTTTCCGAACAATTATATATGAAGCAAATGAAACTGATACTTGTGTTTTTATAAATTAGATAATGAACACTAAGGAAGTATACTTCTAATTTTTGCAAAATATAATGTTACGGTTCAAAGGAAAACAAGTTCTCACCATATTCCAACGATGGAGTGTTCACTCTGTATTGTCACATTGTCACATCAGATGAAATTAAGTACGAAATTGAGTTTTCATAATCACTTCGGATGATTTATAGCTTCTCCCAGATTTGTAACGGCACAAGGAGTTGGAAGCAATTTTCCAGGCAATTTTTCGATTTTTCTCCTATTTATTACCATTTTTTAAATAATTTTGCATTACAAAATTCAAAACATAAAGAAATAACACACATGGCGACAGCTGATCACATCCCCCTTTAGTAGGTGCACACGTGTACGCCAGAGGCCATTGCCACATCCTTCCTTTCCGTGTGAATTTAAATGAATATTGCTATTTTCTTACAAATTTCGAAACTAAATATACAAAAATCGGGAAAAAATTTCGTAAATTGCTACGAACTCATTCAAACTTGATAAATCTTAATTCAAGTGCTTGCTAACATTTTTACTAATCATGCGAGGCTCCTGTGATTAACTAAATCAAATACTCTGATTACTTAAAATATGTATATATATATATTAAAGTGATGGGACAAAAGGAGAAAAAACTAAATGGAAAACCTCTGGACATAATATATAAACGTTGTTTTATGTCTATGGGATACTCATGCCTTACATCTCTCTTTTCTTCTTTCTAGTCGTCTTTTTTGCATACGAACCTTTGGCCGAATCCCCCAATCTGATGATTTTTTCAACATGTCCGCCAGTTCAAGCGGCAAAGCGAATCAGGGGGACTCCGATGGCTCATGGGAATATGCCCCCGATTATCCAAGGTCCCCTCCACCACCGTTGCCTCTTCTAACCTCCTCTGCAAGTGAGGGGGACTCCGATGATCCCGTTGTGGAAATAAATGTCATGAAGAACAAACTGGAACACAACTCTTCCTTGGTCCATTATTGGACTCAAAAGTGTGTCAGAGCTGTGCAGAAGTTGGCTTATTAGACTCGGCAAGTTAACAAAGCCCGTTACAGAAAAGAGAAGCAGAGAATTCGTTCCCAAAGAAGAAAGCACATAACAGAGGATTTGCATATGACAGAGGAAGGATGCTACGTACGAATTTTTGAGCATCCACAAAGGAGGCGACAACCAAGGCCAGGCAATGTCTGTGTCTTTCAACGAAGGTTTTGAGAAATTCCGACGGTTCACTGCAGATGTCCACAAAGATATTGGCTAGGACGCCATAACCCCGTTTGCTGCACAGGAAATCATCTCTAGTGGTGCACACCCAACAGAGCAAGGCCACCAACCAGCAAAAGGCAACAATAATGACTGGTGATAGCCATATCACTTGGTAGGCAATCCCTTAGCAGTTGTTTGTTTTAAAATGCCCGATCTGGGTTACTGTTAATTTTAATGCCCGATCTTGCTTACGTGTAACTTATTATTTCGTTTTACACTGCTATCAAACCTGGAGCTCAATCACAGTTCGATCACTAACTTCCGGATTATAAGCATTGATTTCGTAATAGTGCTCACAATTTTTTGTTTAATTCACTGTCGGTGGGGAGACAATTTGTTTCAAGATTCTCTGACACATATATTCGTTGGTTGAGACATTACAGAGACATAGTGATTGTTTCAAGATTCTCTTACTGACACATAGTCATGGTTTCAAGATTCCCTTGGATATTTTCATATTCATTGCAACCATTGCAAATTTGTGTAGAATCATTCTCCTTCAAACAAGGGCTTCAGGTTATGAAAATCCCAAAGCCCCAGAGGACATCCAGGACATCCACCTTCAACAAAAGATTTTTCCAGCAACTCAAGGTTACGCATTGAAAGCATGGTGCCTTTCACGACCAAAAAAGATGTAAATAGGTATCAATAAATGTTAAAACTCCGGGACCACAAATGAAATCAAACTCTTCCAGATAGTTATGTGTTTAATAAACCATAGTTCAGTATCAATGGACATGAGGCATTTACCTAAGATTCACTAACGCTTCCAGATACTTTCAAAAATGATGTAAATAAGTATCAATAAGTGTTCAAACTCCAGGACCATACATGAAATCAAACTCTTGCATAAATGACTCTGCCATAGTAGGTTCACTGTCCTGCGTGCTCTGAGTGGACACGAACTGGACCACCAAGTTCTGTGTCAGAAGATGAAGAGCTGCCACATCGGAAAAAAAAAAAAATAAACATCAACAACATTAATTTCAAACCACAATATAACACATATTCACTTACGGGCTCGCAAGTTTTGGACAACTCCATCTATCATGATCAGTCTTCCTACATTCAATGCACCGACGTTTACGTCGTTGCGCTGCCTTCTCTTTTTCTACTTTAACTCTTTTCGTACGCCCTTTTACTTTCACTCGATGTGGATCTTTGATTCTGAGTTGGGGATAACTAGTTCCGACAAAACCATTGGGTTCTTCGACATGAGCTCTTGATGACACCAAACTTGTAAGCTTCCCACGAATGTCCTCAAAAGATTTTTCCAGCAACTCAAAACCTTCATCACACAACAAAGTCGAATCAATCAAATCACTTGCAACTTTGTAAACTTTCGATCTCTTAACCAAAAGCAAACCATCAACGCAATTGTTAACTTCTTTGTGATTCTTATCATATATTACACTGATTTTCGCACTTTGAAGCCATCGTTTCAATATGTACTTGTCTGGAAAGTGCTCAACCTGCTTCATTCTTAAGAATGCTAGGATGTGCCGGCACGGAATACCCCAAAATTCAAATCCTTTGCAGCTGCAGTAAGCTTTATCGGCATCTTTATCATGCACAAGCTCCTTCATCCGTGTCACCCCCTGATTTACCTGCTCACTTACTTCGTATCTGCACTGCATCTCATCTTGCTCTACAAGTTCGAACAAGCATAAAAGACTTCTGAAGTCTTCCCTCTCAAACATTTCCAGAATTTCCCAAGTGTAAATGCGTCCCATTTGATGTTGCATTGGTGTTTGAAATGGCAGTGGAGGTTTTTTATTGTTATCAACATGATCAGCTATTAACTCCTTGTGTCTTTGTGAAGCAAGAACTTTCTCGAAACGTACAATGAATTCCATCAATGTGTTTTTTCGGTTAATATATTGTTTGAAAAATGAATGACAGTTTTCGGCCCGTTGACTACTTGACATCCCAGCCAAAAACACATGTTTTACATGTGATGGAACCCAATTCTCCCGCATAGCATGAATTGAGCTCAGCAACGCATGGTCTTGTAGCCCATTGTTTGTGATGATTTCCTCGTATTTCGCATCAAATTCTTCTTTCTTGTCCATACCCCATATGCATTTGCACATTTCCGAAAAACATTCTCCAATGCCGGGTTTCTCTCTAATCTTATTCAAGATATGCCACATGCAATTTCTATGGAATGTTGTCGGGAGAGTTACAACAATTGCCTTTGACATGGCTGCATCTTGATCAGTGATGATCATTTTGGGTGGCTTACCCGGCATGGCTTTCTTGAATTCCTCTAACAACTATACAAATGAATCTGTGGTTTCGCTAGTTAGGAATGCATAACCAAACAACACTGTCTGCCGATGGTTATTAATGCCTAACAAAGGTGCAAAGACCATCCCATAGCGGTTCGTGTTGAACGTCGTATCAAATACCACCACATCTCCAAAAAACCCATAAGCTCGTCTTAACCTTGCATCTGACCAGAAAACATTACCCATCCTTCCTTCCGAATCTACCTCCATCTTGAAATAAGAGGATTCATTATTTTCTTGCATTGCCATAAAATGCTCCTTAAGCAACTCTGCATCATGGCCAATCACCTCTCCACGCACGTCCCTTAGATAATTATAGACATCTCTCCTAACAAACCTAACATTTTCCAATCCCCCTACTTGCATCTCAAGAAGGCTTAACTGTTTATGTACCGGAATATTAACTTTGCTCATATCTGCACTATAGACCTTTGTAGACTCTGTTAAGTTATGGTGAGATCTCAATAGATGAACTTTATTAACTGTGGTCATGTCATGGTTGTGTACCTCATTGAATCCTACAACAATGTACTTATTCTTGTCTTCCATCTTTAATATCGCAAGTTTAGCCTTGCAACCAGTTCGAGTACAACCTCGCTGTCTTCTCTTACGACTAACAGTGCTTGTCAAAGCATACCCCTGTTTACAACATACATATTCCTTCCTTGTTACCTCTCCTGTCAGTGTGCACGTCCTCGTTATAGAACACCGAATACTGAATCCGGCTTCCGCAACATACATATTATAGAAATTGAACACATCGTCATCGCAATCAAATTCAAGTGCTAATTTTGGTTTCAACTGCGACCTTACTTCCGGTGTAACCTGTCTTTCACAATCCATTTCACAGTTCTTGCAATTTAACCATGAATTAACCACCATCATACCAACATTGGCACATGCTTACAAAGAGCTTTAAAATATATATATATATATATATATTAACTAACATATGAAATGAAAATGATTCCCTGGTGAAATATTAAAGACTTACATACAAACTAATATAACTCATGCTTATGCCCAATAATAAACTTGACAAATACAGTATAAAGAGCTTCAAAATATATATATTAACTAACATATGATATGAAAATGACTCTCTGGTGAAATATTAAAGACCAACATACAAAATGATGTACCTCATGCTTATGTCCAATAATAAACTTGACAAATACAGTATATCACTTACCTCGTGAGTCATTTCCAACCCCTGTTTCTCTAGAAGTCAACCCCACACACTTTTCTTCTTCCTCAACCCCTGTTTCGATCGTGCTCAACGATTTCAAAACCAAGAGAACAGCACAACAGTCGCGGTCACCAGTTTCCAACTCAAGACGTTGCTTAAGGATTGACGAATGTTCCGACCAGAAAGACCGAATGTTTCGACCTGAAAAACCGAATGAGAAACCGAGAAAAATGAGGGTTGTACTTCTGTGTTCTTCCTGGAATCGAATAGGGAATAACAGGGGCGCTCTCTCTTCAGTGTTATTGGCCTTGCTCAATCAAAGCTAATAAAAAAAATTGGCCACTTAGTCGAACAAACCGAATAGCTGGATTGGAAGAGACATCTCTTTTGGAGGGGATGTCTATTTTCGACTCGACGTTTTGGAGGGAGGAGAGAGAATAAGGCCTCGTTCTAATACAACAGTTACACTTACAATTGCTTTTGATGCAGCCGTTAGATTAGATCCAACGGTGTTCTCACGTAACGTTCGCACATAAGTGTTCTCACCTGATCCAAAGGGTCCCTTCTTTAATGCGATGGGCACACTCATACATCAATCTTGAGGACAAAATGAGCCCAAACAAAATATGTTTGTCCTCTTTTGGCTTTAGGAAGTCATCATAGAGCCATGTCAGAAGTTGTGGCCATGCCTTAATCCTTGCCACTGACAATGTCATCCTTCAATTCCTCCAAGAATGGAGACGACCGCTGTGAATTAAAGGTTTGAAGAAACGAGTTTTGATACTCCAGGTGGCGAGATGGTTGTAGAGCTGGCCATAGCCTAGTGACTATCACATACAGTAGCTCTCTACTTCCCAGCCTAGGTTCTTAATGCATGCGAGAAGAAGGTGAAGAAGTGCTTCGGTGAGCTCATCATTATTGGTGGAGCCCAGTACCTCCTTGGCCTCCAGTTTTTTGGTAGGATAAGTTTGTCTTACAGGGCTTGTGGAGCAACTCAATGGGGTGTGGGTTTTTTTGGGGCATCCCTCCGGTAGGTAGCATGACAATTATTTCGAATTGCTTATGTATGGTGGCAACGGCCTTCACAAGAGTTTCAAACAATTCAAATGAGGGATTGTCTTTCTATCTTGGATCCTTCTTGAAAACTAAACAATAGGTTTTAGGGGAAGAAGTGCTTCGGTGAGCTCATCCCTATTGGTGACGCCCAGCACCGCCTCAGCCACTTGTTTTTCGGCCGGATAAGTTGACTTACATAACTTACGGAGAAACTCAATGAGGTGTGGGTGTGTTTGGGGCATCCCTTCGGTAGGTAGCATGACCGTTATTTCGACATGCTTTTGTATGGTGGCAGCAGCCTCCACAAGAGCTTCAAATAATTCAAATGAGGGCTCGTCCTTCTTTCTTGGATCCATCTTGAAACTTTCTTGAAAACTAAACAATAGCATGCAGAAAGAGAATAGGAAGAGTAGTGACTGGAAAACATTAGTATTTAGTTGGTTTGTCTTTTGTTTCCATCCCTTAATCTTTTGTCTGACTCACTCTCTAAATTAGCTGATATCCTCTTTCCTTGATTAACCTTAAATGTTGGGGAGTCCTATCTAGGCCAGTACCCCCCTTGGAGTATAATGGCTTGAGCAGAAGTCTAGAATAAGTGCGAATCCAATAAGTGAATACCCTACACCACATATACCAGATCTATTGGGCTGGTCTCATCCCTAGTAATGGCACGCCTACGCAATTCATGATCAGGATAGAAGGAACAAGTCGTTAGGGCCCAGCTAGGGCTAGCCGGTTCTTGTCAACCTGATCCACCTTCCAATTTTGTTTAGAAGTTGAAAGAATCCCCTTGTGGGCCAGAAATCCAATCGAGGCATTGGTGTTGACCCGACGACCTTCCCACTCTCCAGAGCAGCTTGATCCAGAGTATAACAATGTTGGGGGAATGATCACAAAACTGAAGAATATGATGAAAATATGAAGGGAGGCAGATAGTGTTTTTTAAAACAGAGAATTATTCAAACTGATTTTCGTTAACTTCTTTTTTCATATATACAGCAGCCTATAACATTGCTATTTATAATAACAGTCAGACCTTTTGATAAACAGACATAACTCTTGGATTAGTTCCAAGAGTTGCAGACACAACTCTAGACTTCTAAAGAGGTACAACTCTTCCTAAACATAGCTCTTCTCAAGGGACACAACTGTACTTAACAACTGATACAAATGCATTATGTTTAACACTCCCTCTTAATGCATTTGTCCTGCGACATTTGGCATTTCTTTGAAATAGTAGAACTTCTCTCTTGGAAGTGTTTTTCTAAAAAAATCTGCAATCTGCTCATCAGTACCATAGAATTCCAATTCAATCTCTCCGTCTTCAACCAATTTTCTGATAAAATGATGACGAAGTTCTATGTGCTTTGACCTGCTATGAAAGACTGGGTTCTTTGTCATGGCAATTGTGGACATGTTATCACAGTACAATTTTGTTGGAGTGTTTTGTTCTTGACGAAGATCTGCTAATATTCTTCTAATCCAAACTGCTTCACATGCTGTACTTGTGGCTGAAATATATTTTGCTTTGGCTGTTGATAATGCCACTGTACTTTGCTTCTTTGATGACCATGATATAACTTTACTTCCCAAGAAAAACACATGTCCAGAGGTGCTCTTTCTATCATCAATTGCACCTGCCCAGCCACTATCTGTGTAGCCAACTAACTGTGCTTCCTTCTCTTTTGTATATCTAATACCATATCCGTTGGTTCCTTGTATATATATGAGTATTCTTTTTACTGCAGCAAAATGGTGATTACTTGGATCACTCATGAATCTAGATACCACACTTACAGCATGAACAATATCTGGCCTTGTATTTGTAAGATAAATTAATGAACCAACCACACTATATGGATGCATCAAACTTAGGTGCTCCATCGTTACTTGTAAGCTTCAAATTAATTGCCATTGGAGTATCCATTGGTTTGCTCTTCAACATATTGAATTTTTTCAACAACTTTTCAGCATACTTCTCTTGAGAAATAAATATTCCCTCATTTGATTGTTGAACCTATATACCAAGAAAATATCTCATAGTGCCTAAATCTGCCATCTCATATTCCTTCATCATGTTCTTCTTGAAAACTTCTGCCATCTTTGGATTTGTGCTTGTATAAATCAAATCATCAACATGGAGGCACAAAATCAAAAAATCATGTGTACCTTCTTTCTTGAGATAAAGTAATGGCTCACTTAAGCTTTTTGTAAATCCATTGCTGAAAATAATGATTAGTTTTGTTGTTCCAGGCTCTTGGCGCTTGCTTTAAGCCATATAAGGCTTTACGGAGGTGATAAACTTTATCTTCCCTCCCTTTCTCAACAAAACCTTGAGGTTGCTCCAGATAAACCTCTTCTTCAAGTTCTCCATTTAAATATGCAGATTTGACAGCCAATTGATAAACTTTTGTCTTTAGTTGTGCAACTAAAGCCAAAACAGTTCTTATTGTTTCCATTCGAACTACCAAAGCAAACGTCTCATTAAAATCAATTCCTGGTTGTTTAGAATATCCTTTTGCAACCAAGCGAGCCTTATACTTTTGGATTGAGCCATCTTCATTAAACTTTGTCTTGTAGACCCATTTAAGTCCAATGATATCTTTTGATTCGGGTTGATCAACAAGTTCCTATGTTCTATTTTTCTTGATAACTCTTATTTCCTTATCCATTGCATCTTGCCAAATATTTTCTTTTATAGCTTCCTCAAATTTTTGAGGCTCCAAAGCACTCAAAGCAAGATCACACGACTCATATATGTCTGCCAATGAACGTGTTCTTGAATATGATGAACTAGGATCAGATGTTCTTGCACTTGGAATTGGACTTTGAAGGAACTGAGTTTATTCTGAATGTGATGACTCTGGTTCCTCAAAAAATATTGGCACTTTGATGTCATAATTCTCCCATTTCCAAGCTTCGAGTTCATCAAAAATAACATCTCTAGAAATTACCAAACTATTGGTTCTTGGATCAATTAATCTGTATGCTTTGGACTGATCACTATATCCCACAAAAATATATTTCTCACCTTTCCCATCAATTTTTTCTCTCTTTTGAGAAGGGATATGTGCATATGCAGTGCACCCAAAAATCTTGAAGAAATCCACCTTTGGTTTAAAACGATGCCATGCTTCAAAAGGAGTCTTATCTTTGACTGCCTTGGTTGGAGACTGATTAAGAATAAATACTGCTATATGAATTGCTTCAACCCAAAATGTATTTGGTAGACTCTTTGCCTTCAACATGCTTCTTGCCATCTCGACAATGGCTCGATTTGTTCGTTCGACAACTCCGTTTTGTTGCAGGGTGTACCTTGCTGTCAACTCTCTTTTAATACCATTGCTTTTGCAGTATTCAGAAAATTCATTTGATGTAAACTCTCCACCACGATCTGTTCTTAACACCTTCAAATTGTGACCACTTTGATTTTCTCTTGAAAATAGAAAATGCTTCTGACTTTTGTTCTAAGAAATATACCCACATTATCCTAGAGAAATCATCTACGAATGGAATGAAGTACCTTTTGTTATTGAAGGATGGTGTACGAGTTGGTCCGCAAATATCTGCATGTACCAATTCAAGAGGGGCTTTTGCTCTCCAAGATGATTGTGAGAATGGTAGCCAATCGAATTTTCCAAAAATACAGCCTTCCCATATTTCCTTTTCAGAGTGAATAGAGGGAAGTCCAACCACCATATTTTTCTGGTGTAACAGCTGCAGGCTTTTTTGATTCAAATGCCCATATCTTAGATGCCATAACAATGATCCATCAATTTTCTCTGCTTCCAAAGCAAAGTTTTCCTCTGATGTCATCAACATGGGAAAAACTTTGTTTGTTGTTATTTTTATCTTTGCCACCAGGTTATTATTCTTTTTATCATAAATAACACAACAGTCATATTCAAATTTCAACAAGAATGCTCTTTGCAAAAGTTGTCCCACACTTAGTAAATTTTGAGCCAAATTAGGAACATACAGCACATCATAAAACCTCACTCTTATGTTTCATAAAATATATCCATGTCATTCTCGTATAATCATCAACAAAAGTCATAAACCATCTAATGAGATTATAGATACCGGGGAAGGACCCCATACATCAGAATGAATAAGAGCAAAAGGTTTATCATTTTTATTGAAACTAATAGGGTATGAAACACGGTGACTCTTGGCAAGAATACAAGTTTCACACTGAAGACTGTAAATATCCAAATCCAAAAATAAAGTTGGAAATAAATATTTTAAATAACCAAAAGAAGCATGTCCTAAACACCAATGCTGTAACCAAATGTATTTCTTCTTGTCTACAGCTGAGTCATGAGCAATAAGAGCCTCCCTCGTGCAAACATCATCCACATAATATAGTCCCCATCTCTTAGTACCATGCCCAATTATTTCCTGGGTTCGAATATCCTGAAGAAGGCAAAATAAGGGATAGATTAATACAAAACAATCTAATTGTTCAGTCACTTGTCCGACAGATAATAAATTCTGAGATAAAGAAGGAACAATAAGAACATGTTCCAAAGCTAAATTTGAAGAAAGATCAACAATGTCTGCCCCAATCACAGGGTAGGATTGGCTATTCTCATTCACCATACTAGTAAGGCTAGGAGTAGTACGAGTCTTCAAATTTGTGGGGTCAAATGTCATGTGATTTGAAGCACTTGAATTTATAATCCAACCAAAACCAATACCTAAGCCAGCAACAGCAGCAAAAGCACTACCTAAGGTATCAGAAGAAGTGACCGAATCACCTGTAGGGAAGATGGCAAAACCTGGAGGAAAAGACAGATGACATAGGGGAAGTTTGTGGGACATAAGGGTCGGGAGATACTATGCAGAGTGCGACCTTGCCTTGTGCGCATTGTTCAATTGCTGCTTTGGCCTTGTTACGTTCCTTGACTTCATCCCACCATTTTGGATAGCCATGTAATTTAAAGCAATTAGTTACAAAGTGATTCGCAATGTTGCAATGAGTACACCTTCCACCATTCTAAGGTTTAACTCGTTGCAGACCACTAGGTCTTCTAGAACTTGTAGGTCCTTTAGTTGTAGAACCTTCATGTTTGTAGGAAGAGGTAGGCATAGAGTGCCTTGTAAGTCCATTAATTGTAGAATTGGCAGGTTTGTAGGAAGAGGTAGGCCTGGAGTTCCTTGCTGCCATAGTAACTCCAGTGTTCACCAGGATGGGTGGCACCATCATGGTGGATAGCTGCTGATCTTCTCGTCTAACACATGAAAAAGCTTTCTCCAAATTCGGAAACGGATCCATGCGAAGAATATCGCTACAAACTCTATCAAACACATCATATAATCCAGCTAAAAATACACAAACCGTCTCGATCTCAATCTCTTGTTGACGAAACAAAATATCTGCTAAATTAGTAAATTTATTTGGTCATCGATAATCAATCTCATGGAAAATACTTTGCAATTCGGCATACTATGTGACAAGTTGTCACCCATACTGTTTCGCCTTGATTACCCGACTAGTTAACTCAAAAATCTGTGACTGATCTTGCCCATCATAGTATTTTTTTTCACATTCTCAACATATCTTAGGCAGTTTTGTAAGGAAGGAAAATTTGCATAATATTAGGCTCCATAGATTGAATCAACCATCCTTTCACAACTCCGTTTTTAGCATACCACTTATTATAATTGGAGGCTGCCAGAGCTGGTGCAGCAGAAGCGCCTGTCAGATACCTGTGCAGCAGAAGCGCCTGTCAGATACCCATATTCTCCCTTCCCAGCAACATGTAGCACAAGCAGTTGGGACCATAATGAATAATTTGTTCCATTCAATTTGACAATTGTAGGAGCAGCGGAAGAATCATAATGAACATTGACAATTGACATAGGTTGACCAGAACCCCTTGAGGTAATTTTTGGTACCTCATTGAATTGTTCATCTTCATCAAACAAATCCTACATATCCCCCATGGAGACAAAGAACACCGCAAGGAATTAAAACAAAATAATAGGCAAAAAAGAAAAAATCTATAGCAGTAAGGGGGTTTGGCCATTCTAGGGAAAATATAACATGGCTTTGACACCAAATCAAATACAAGGATATATGGTAAATTTCTGAGATATATTTCTTCTCTCAAAGAAGGTGTATTATAGTGTACAATGCCTTCTTACCCAAGGAAAAGATAAAAACTAATCCTAACAAAACAGGTAATACAATATTTACAAGAATCCTTATAATAATTTCCTACCTAAAATAGGACTCACACCAACACAAAGTCAATGACACAAACCATAGTAGAATGATGGTGTCAATAGTATATGGTTTAATAAGACATAAAGGGTGAAAAGCTTGCTGATAATTGAGTAGACTTATGCTCTTGTAAATAAAGAACTTTTCCAACTTAGGGAAGTATGAGTTCTAGAAGTAACTCCCAAGGTAACAATAGTTGAACCTTAAACTCTTCCGGCTTACATTCAGATTTTGAGGGATTAATTGACTTTGGTGCCACTAATCATATGACCTTTGATTCCTGAAATTTTACGTATTGTAACTCACCTCACTTGAGCAGTGTGGCCAATGCTAATAGTGACTCAAGTCTTGTTACGGGCGCATGAACAATGGAATTAACTCCTTCTCTCTCCTTACATCATTGCTTACTTGTGCCTTCTCTCTCCAATAACCTCTTGTATGTTGGACAAGTCACTAAGCAACTTAATTGTTTTGTACTAATGTGCCCGTTTTTCTGTCTTCTTCAGGATATTCTCACGAATGAGATCATCCGCCGTGCTATTAAGAGAAAGGGATTGTATTATGTTGATGATATTTGTCAAGTCCGAGTTCATCTTACCAAAGGTTCTGTCAAAGATCATCGACAACACATTCTACTGTGGCATTAAGAGTGATCAACATGAGCATGAGCATAAGAGCGAATAAATAAACGAAAACTAAAAACTATGGCAAAGAACAATTGGGTGATTTGTAGCAACCGCCATCAAATATGATGTAGAACCAAATTCAAAGAACATGAGTAGTGCTAGAGAGCGAGTTTTGGGAGAATGATTTGATTGAGAACATAGCCCAAAAGAGGTGAAGGGGAACTTCAATCTAAGCAAGGCCTAGAAGAGATCACCACAAGGGGATTCTTATCCAAAATGCCCAGTGGACTTATTCACTAACCCAGCAGGAAGAGATAAGGGGGAGGTGGGACAATGACGCTTTTTCCTCCTCCCCCTCTATTGAGTTTTTCCTTAGGATTTATACAGTGAGAGAGCAGCTAGATCAAAACTTCTCTCTCCACATAGCCTATGAAATTACTTCTCTTAATTTGACCAATATATATTAATAATGTTTATTAAACTAATTAAATAATGTATTTATCACATAAGTCACTTCATGTAGGCCATACATAATATTTATGAAATAATCTTACAAACTTGTCATCTAATATTAAAATACCATTGCAACGTTTATCTCCGCCACAAATACATAGGTCACGCATTGCAAATATTCTTACAAAATTGACATGGGTCACTTCATGTGGGCCACAATACATAAAATATTCTTACAAACTTGTCATCTAATATTAAAATACCATTGCAACGTTTATTTCCGCACTAAAGATAAAGATTTAAGATTGAATTTTAGTGGAACTTCTTGTGGTTTAGGCACAGGAAGGTGGCCCTTCTCCTGCAAGCTCTTGACAGTTTCATATAGGCACTGTTTCACCGGAGTGAACTCCACGCCCAAGTCTTGTAGCTTATGGGTTGTCAACTTGTATGGTTTTACTCTTGGTTTGACTTCATCCGAGCACCTGTAAATATATGACATACTAATTAACTTAATCCCACAACATTGAAAAACAAGAATACTTTCAAAAATATAAATATGTGTGTTGCATTAAAATAGTTTGAAAATAGAAATCTATTTTTAAAAAAAATAGTTTGTAAATAGATTTTAAAATAGTTTAAAATCTATAAGTGAACCAATGATTTGCCAAAAATTTCTTTATTCTATAAAAACATTAAGTAATGGACCATAAGCAAACACTAAATCAATCACTACGAGAGATGCCTACGTATGCATGAACAAACATATTTATCATATTACTTATACCAAAATAGGGATACCATCACTGTCCCCGCCCTCATCCCCGTCTTGGTTGTTAACATGTAGCTCAGAAAATATCTTATTTAGACAAGAAATAAAGAAAACAAAATCAATGAGGACGATGATGTACTTACTTGGTGGGAATTGGGTATTCTGGGAAGGACTTGGCTAGGATTTCTACCACGTCTCCACGGTGAAGCACACTCTCACCACAAAGGTACCTTCCCGAGGCAGATGGAGTTTCATACACCAGAATGTGGGCCAGAGCCACGTCCCTAACATGCACATAGGCCTGCACAGCATTGGCATAAGTCTTGGCTGAGCCTGTGAGGTACTTGAGGATGTGGATGATGCTGGCGTTGACGGTTGGTTGGAGAGGTGGTCCGAGTACCAAAACTGGGTTCACCACCACCAAATCCACCCCTTTCTCCTTGGCCTCTTCCCAAGCTGTCTGCTCTGCCACTGTTTTCGCATAGCAGTACCAGTTCTGCATATATATTATTTTGTATTTGTCAAATTCATTATCACTATAAGCATCATAATCATCGTCATGGTTACCTTAAGCCTTAAAGCATAGTGTATGTATGACCATTATTTTCAATTGTATTAATCTAATCCATTTTATTTGTTTCATCCAGCTCTATCAAGAGGATAACTATGAAATGGCCACAATATGTTTTCAAAGAGCTGGTGATACTTGGGAAAGAAGGTCGAAAGCTGCTGGCCTTAAAGTTATGGCTGACCATAACGGCACTTCAAATCCTAAAAAGGCTAATGCTCTCCTCAAGAAAGCTGGAGAAATTTTTGAATCTTTAGGGAAGGCAGATTCTACTACTTGGACTAGGCATCAGATAGCGAGACCAAAGCTTGGTCAAGCTTTCACAACAAGTGAAGCTAGTTCTAAGTCATTCAGGTAACATCTCCCCCTCAATCTAATAACACTAATGTGAATTTGTTGCTCCCAACCTTGTCAATAGGTCCCATGAACGGTGACGTTCCGCCGTAACAGGACAACCATAGAAACATGTGAAGTGTCATCTTCCCTGTACCCCTAAAACTTCCACCTCTATATTGATATGGTTATTGCTGGCAGACCTTAAAGAAACAGCTAACTCATCTGTCCACCGCAAACAAAGGCCCCTAGAGGCTCCGTTACTTTCAACCACAATACATTGACGAAAGCCCAATTTGAGTCAAACAGATTCCATAACGTTTCTAGAACAACGTGTTTCACAAAGAAACACAATTTTGGAATCCTCATTACGGACAAGACACTGTAATGCTTTAACTGTCCAAGGGTTCCTAAGGCCTTGGCAGTTCCAACTTAGAAGATTCATAGCTCCCGGCAGGGATTGGCAACGACAACTCTCGCCGATCTCAGCGATGAAGAAGAACAGACAAAGGGCAAGCATCGCCTCTTCTACCCTTGTGTCTTATTAGTACTGCCTGTCAGGGAAGCACGCCTCTTGCCATTTTGATTAAGAGTCCCCGTTTTCCCTCTATCATGAAGACTCTTCTTATTGATATGAACCTTGGAGATATTTCTTCCTGCATGGACTCTCTTTGATTTCAGTTTTGCTTCCTTTGTGATTCTTTGAATAATTGGGCTGAGCCCAAAAGGATCCTCTTAAGCTATATCCTCCGTGAAGCCCCCTGGCCATTCAGCAAACACTTTGGGCCCATATTGGTCAGAAGCTAGCCCATCTACACCAACCAAATGTTCACGAAAATCACAGCATTGATTGGGAGCAATCATTTCATGTGAGTAATTATTGCCCAAAAGGGTGGCCGTATGAAGATCCTAAGTTAAGGCTAAGTTAACATCCGAGTAATTAGGAGGCTGCATCAAATCTGCATTACAATCATTTCACGTGAGCAATATGATCAAACTGACCACAAAGATAGCAGGTGTGTGGAAGGTTCTCATAGCGTGTAGGTCGACCCACTGACTTGTGGTTTGTCCTCCAGGGAGTCGCACTGGCATACACCTCCTACGTGGCTTTGAGATGTCAATGCCTACTATGATGCACAGATAACTTCCGTAGCAATCACTCCTTTTCCTTTGATCAGTGACTACAAAGTCACCCACTGCAGTCCCTATCTCTTTTCCCATAGCTCTCGTCATGTAAACTAATGGAAGCCCACGAACCTAAATCCAAAACTCATGTTTGTGCAAAGGAATGCGGGAGGGGTTTACCACGTCATCCGCTTCACTAATCACCAGCAAATAGTGGTTGAAGGCCCAAGGACCCCCGCCTAGAATTCTCGCTCTGTCTTGTCGTGAGGAGAAAGCAAACATGAACAAATAATCCTCCAAGGTAACAATCTCCACCCGTGCCTTTGGTCTCCATAGTGTCTCCATAGCGCGCTTAAACGCCTCCTTGTTGAAAGGTTTCTTCGTGAGCACTTTGCCTACTAGGAAAAACTTTGTAGTTCGAAGCAGACCAACATTACCTCCCTCAACCACCAGTACTTGCTGTTCCTCCTCAGTCGGCACAAATTGAGAAGCAAAATGGTTTACCATCTCTTCCATGTGCCAAACTATGATCCAATACCTCTAGCACCCACTTAAATAGTTGTTGTACTAGAATAACAATATGTAGCAGAACTATCAGGAGCATGGAAGTCCTGAGAGAATACTACTTTGAAATCTCACAAACTTTCTCTACCGACTTGACCTTTTCTACTCTCCTAGAGAAACCCTAGGATAAAACAACTGTTCTTAATTATGGCATATCTGGGTTATTTCAATTGGTCATGGTAGTGAGCAGTGGCGGATCCAGGATTCAAAAGTCAGGTAGGCGAAACTTACCTTAAAAACTCGACGGTACAAGAGAATTTAATTCATAAAAATAAAAGGATACAGTTAGTCGTGGAGAACGTAATGAGATTTACCCTCAAATACGCATCTCTATACATAAATAAAAACTTAACCAAAAAAAAAAATAAAAAAAAATTAATGCAATGCAACACAAAACTAAACTATTTAAATCTAAAACTAAATTAAACTATTAAAAAACTTAAGATGCATACATTTATTTTAAGAAAAAGCCAATAGAAGAATACTTGTTGGCCTTAGATATGAGAAGATGCTATCAAGAGAGAATGTCTAGACTCAAGAAGAAGTTGCAAAGGATAATGATTTGAGACTGTCGACTATTGCACAGTGGCAAGGGAATTGACTGCTTACTTATATTGCTTCCCCTCCTTTTCTTTTTTTAAGTTTGACCGAGCCATATAACACATGTGGGTTGCTTTTAAGTTTGGGTATGCATGAGTTCATACTATTACATGGATGGGTAGGAATAACTTTGTTTACATATAGGTTTTTTTTTTTTTTTTTTTGTGAAAAAATTTGGGTAGGCAGCCCCCTCCCCCGCCCCTGCTGTAGGGCTGCCCCTGGCAGGGGGGCCCCCCCTTG